GGGGGGGGGGGGGGGGGTTTGATGTAACAAGAGGCCCCGTGTAACATCCTATTCCCCAACAACCTTTCCCTCAATGAGTTTTATATTCATTGCTGATCACTGCCAAATGAGTTATTACACTGGGAATAGCAGAATACTGATTACTTCATGTAATTGCTTCTGTATTTACTAGGTGGCATTGTCTAGTAAAGAAGAGCACTCTTTCCCTTTCCCCTTTTAATAATGCTTACCATCGTCTTTCTTTATGATGCTCAAATTGTCCCAAACTTGCCCAGCAGGTGCCCCATAAAGCTGGCTCCTGTGTCTTGGTCTACACCAGCCTTAAAAATACTACTTTTCCTTTCTAATTAGCAAAGTAACACATATTCAAAGCAAAATATTTTGGAAGAGAAAACTGCAAAACAGGAGAGGTTCCTATATTCCTCAACCTAAAAATACTAATATTTTGATTGTCTTTCCAGGAGACAAAATTATTTTTCTCATCTGATATTTTGTTCCATAAAAACAGAAACATAATGCAGAGAATATCAACTTCTTTTCACCAAATTTATTTCCACAGCAACTATTTCCCACCTTATGAAGTATGATTCTGTGCCATTATTTTTTTCTTTTTTAAAAAATTAATTTATTTAATTGGAGGCTAATTACTTTACAATATTGTAGTGGGTTTTGCCATACTTTGACATGAGTCAGCCATGGGTGTACATGTATCCCCCATCCTGAATCCCCCTCCCACCACCCTCCCCATCCCATCCCTCAGGGTCGTATCAGTGCAACAGCCCTGAGCGTCCTGCCTCATGCATCAAACCTGGACTAGCGATCAGTTTCACATATGGTAATATACATGTTTCAATGCCATTCTCTCAAATCATCCCACCCTCGCCTTCTCCCAGAGTCCAAAAGTCTGTTCTTTACACCTCAGTCTCTTCTGCTGTCTTGCATATAGGGTGATCATTACCATCTTTCTAAATTCCATATATATGTGTTAATATACTGTATTGGTATTTTTCTTTCTGACTTACTTTACTCTGTATAATAAGTTCCAGTTTCATCCACCTCATTAGAACTGATTCAAATGTGTTCTTTTTAATAGCTGAGAAATAGTCCATTGTGTATACATACCACAGCTTTCTTATCTATTCGTCTGCCGATGGACATATAAGTCGCTTCCAGGTCCTAGCTATTGTAAACAGTGCTGCGATGGACATTGGGGTACATGGGTCTCTTTCAGTTCTGGTTTCCTCGGTATGTATGACCAGCAGTGGAATTGCTGGGTCATATTATGCCATTATTTTTGATGAGTTATTCATATGGATGAACCATAATTTACTTAACCAATATTCTGTGGTCAGGTATTTAGTTTGTCCCCAATTTCTCTGATTCTCAGCAAGTTTAAGTATTTTTTCTTATGTGTGCTGCTCATTTAGAGATATTCTTTTGTGAACTGCATTTTCATTTTCATGTCCTGTGGTTGTTGATAAAACCTCCTTACTGGGAAGTTTATGGCTAAATGAATTTGTAAAATCTTTATTAAGTACCTCAATTTCTTTTTAATTTTGTTTATAATGAATTCTAACATACAAGTCTCAATTAATAGAACTTTCCTTTAGTCACATGAACTCATCTTTTATGTTCTACTTTCTGTCTTTGATAATACATTTACAAGTCTGTCCCAACCCAAGATTATGTAAATATTCATCTATGTTCTCTTATATTTCACTCTTCAATCCATGTAAAATTTCAGCTTTTATGTGGTTAAAACAGAATGAAAATGGATCCCTATCTCAAGCCACTCACAAAAACCTGAAATGGATTAAAGACTTAAATGTAAGACCTGAAGCATTTAACTCTTAGAAGAAAGCGTAGGGAAAATCTCCTTGACACTGGTCCTGGCAATCAGTTTTTAGGTATTACATCAAAGCACAAGCCACAAAAGCAAAAAGTAGTAAAAGAGGCTACATCAAACTGAAAAGCTTCTACACAGCAAAGGAAACAATCAACAAAATAAAAAGGCAATCTACCAAATGGCATCACCGACTTGAAGGACATGAGTTTGAGTAAGCTCGGGAGTTGGTTATTGGACAGGGAAGCCTGGCATGCTGCAGTCCATGGAGTTGCAAAGCATCAGACACAACTGAGCAACTGAACTGGTCAAATAGAAGAAAATATTTCCAAATCATATATCTGATATGGGATTAATAACCAAACTATGTAAATAACTCATACAACTCATTAGCAAAAATAAAAAATCCAATTAAAAAAAGAGCAGAGTATCTGAATAGACATTTTTCCCAAGAAGACATACAAGTGGCACACAGGTACATAAAAAGGTGCTCAACAGTGCTAATCATGAAGGAAATGCAAGTCAAAATCCCAATGAACTGTCACCTCATACCTGATTAAATGGCTATCATCAGCAAGACAAGAAATTAAAAGTGTTGATGAGGATGTGGAGAAAAGGAAACCCTTGTGCACAGTTAAAACGAAAGTAAATTATTGCAGCCTCTGTGGAAAACAGAATGGAGGTTTCTCAACAAATTAAAAATAGAACTACCATAAGATCCAGTAATCCCACTTCTGGTTTACACCCAAAGGAAATGAAAACAGGATCTTCAAGTTATCTGCATACTCCCCATGTTTACTAAAGCATTATTCAGAATAGCCAAAATATGAAAACAAGTGTTTGTCAGTGGGCAAATGGATAAATGTGGTAAATACATGCAATGTGATATTTTTCAGCCAGGACAAAGAAGGAAATCCTTCCATTTGTGACAATATCAATGAACTTTAAGGTCATTATGTTAAGTGAAATAAATCAGACAAAGACAAATGCTATATGACCTCACTTATATGTGGAATCTAAAAAAGTCAAACTCATAGAAACAGAGTATAGTGATGGTTTCCAGGGGCTGAGAGTGTGGGAAATGTCAGTCAAAGAATACAAACTTCCAAGTAAAAGATGACTAAGTTCTGGGGATCTAATGCACAGCATGGTGGTTACTGCTAATTCTGTATTATGCACCAGAAAGCTGCTGAGTAGATCTTAATATGTTCTCATCACAGAAAAGAAATGGTGATTATGTGACACAATGGAGGTGTTAACCAAGACTACAGAAGTAACCATTTTTCAACACAGGAAGGTATCAAATCAATACACTATACACGTTAAATTTACATAATGTGTCAGTTATACCTCAATAAAGCTGGGGAAAAAAAAAAGGCAAGTGAGTGGCACACATGAATTAAAACCCAGGCTTCTGGCTTCAGAGATTTATACTAAACCACTGTAACTGAGTGCTTTTAAAATGAACCACAGTTATCTTCTTTCTCTAGTGACACTGAGGTTGTCTGCAATTTTCTGTACCATAAACAAAATTTTCAGTGAACATCACTGTGCCAATCTCCTTGTGAATATGTAGAACATCTCCTGAGGGTATAGCCTCAAGTGGAAGAGAAATGGAAACATTTGTTTTTTTGAAACTGTAGAGCAGGTATTATTTAAAATTTCCTTCTTTCTTTCTTTCAGAAAAAAAAAAAATTTTTTTTCCGGACAGAATATATGTTCCATGAAGGCAGGGATTTTTGTCTTTTTTTGTTCAATGCTCTATTTCACATGAGACATAATAGATATTTGGTAAGTGTATGAGTGGTTCTTAAATATCAGGTTCTGTTGCCTTAATTATGCAAACGTTGTATAGGGTGAAAAGAATCTGTGCGAATTTCTATTTACTCTTTATGTGTTGAGAATTTTACCAGAACCTAAGGTTTATCCCCAAAGAAGACTGGGAAAGAGGATTCTTCCTTGACTCCAGTACTTCCTCTAGATGTTATCGGTATCCTCCTCAATGACTTTAAGCTGGGAGGCAGGAAACAGGTTCAGCAACTCAGCAACCTGAGGAGAATGGGGAGGGAGCCATAACTGTAAAAAGCTTGGGCCTGGTGTGGCTGATCTTCTCGCTGCACCGCCAAGGTTGAGCCTTGCCCTTAGGCAGATGGAGCTCAGCCATCACCAGCTTCATGGACCCGCCAAGCCACAGGGGCTAAGGGCACCCCAGTGAATAGTTCCCAGGCCATCCTACTGCTCACTCTCGCCATCACACCTCCAAAGCAGGGCATGTTTATGAGATTCCAAACCAGACTCCCAGTTAGCCCTCACTGCCACAGTGGCTCCACTGCAGTTTCCAGCAGAAATTCCTTTCAGTGTCTTGTGTGTGAACAGCAACTTTCCAGAGAATTCAGCAATGCCACAGGTTTCTCCTGTGTTTAATGCTTTGCTGGTCAACTCAGTCATGCTGCAAAGAGAAGGAATCACATAATAACATGTGAGTTCCTTACCCTGACAGTTGAAATACAGATAAACTAAGCTCTTTTAATAGGGTCTTGATGAGTGTTTTTCATTACACAACAGATTGAAATCAACCTCATTACACTTTGATCAGGTCACTCTCACTAGCCTCTTCCTTTGGTGGAAAAGAAAAAGGTCTGATTAGAAATAAGGAGAATTTATACCTATGACCTTGATCAAGATATATAACTTCTTGAAATAATGCCATTTGCAGCAATATGGACAGACCTAAAGATTATCATACTAAATAAAGTCAGAAAGAGAAAGACAAATACCAAATGATATCATTTATATGTAGAATCTAAAATAACAATACAAATCAACGTAATCTATGGAAAAAAAAAACAGATTCACAGATATAGAGAACAGACTTGTGGTTACCAAAGGGGACGGGGGAGGGGAGGGAAGGAATGGGAGTCTGGAATTGGCAGAGGCAATTATGTGTAGGATGGATAAACAACAAGGTCCTACACAGAGAACTACATTCAATATTCTGTGACAAACCATAATGGAAAATAATGTGAAAAAGAATATATAAATATATACATGAGTCACTTTGCTGTACAGAAAAAATTAACACAACATTGTAAATCAACTATACTTCAATAAAATTTTTTTAAAAGATATATAACTTCTTAGAGTTTAGTGTCTTCAGCTTGGACTAGATGAACTCTATAAGAACTTCCTGATCACTTCCTGAAATTTTCCTATGAAAATATTCTTCCCCTTTCGTTTCTTTCTCTATTTCTACTGCTTCTCTAGTCATAACCACACCTGTGACATCACATTGCCCCAATTCAGTAGCATCTTTTTCCCACACCCCGACAGCTCAAGGACTACAGTGGTTGTGATTCTTTGTTATCTTTCTAGTAAATGACTGTGAACATAAACACTGCACTGTGTGTTCTTACTCTCCGTGAACACAGGTAGCATATATCGTCCTCTTTCTTCCCAACCTTCAGAGAGAGGCACTGCAGGGACTCTCAGCACTGGGGAGAAGAGATTCAGGAACCACCTTAGGAAAAAAAAAATCACTAAAAATATAAAAAGTCAGTAGCTTCTCCAAGTAGACCTGAGTAGCTAAAAATCTGAGATGTTGCCTGCCTGATGTTCTAATTTTCATACACACAGACCTGGACTAGTACAAACTCTCTATTTTGACCTTGCATTTACTTATGAGAGCCCTAGCCTCATGATTAAAAACACCATGGTCCAGAGCACTGTGGAGCGAGTATGCTCTGGGGTCTAATTACTCACTACTTAGTTAACCTAACTAATAATCCCCTCTTCCCACTGCTTCTCATATTTTTTTTAAACTGCATTTGTTTATAAAGTGTACCTTCGTCCCCATCTCTGTTCTATCATTGCATCACATCAGGAAAGCATCCTTTCACCTCCTTGGATAGTTCTGGTGCCAAGAAATAATGAAAACGTATTTCTCTTGATGGAAAATTCCAAGTTGTCCAGACATATGAATAAGGAGAAAAGACAGCTGTCAGTGAGCATCCTTTGAGCCTACTGAATCCATATCACAAACCATTTTTGATGGTGCCAAAACAAACTAGCACATTGCAAAGGATGTGTGTCCTAAAGCATGGTCCCCAGGCTTTGCTTTGACTCATACTTAAAGATTAAAAAAAAAAAAATGCAGGAACTGACTTAAGGTTGAGAACTTTTAATTTTTCAAACAAGACCATTAAAAAGAAAAAAAAAAGATTACCCTAAACTATTGCCATTTCAAAAGGACATTTTAGTCATGTAGTCATGTAAGGCAATATTATTCAGTCATGAAGTAATGAGAGTCTGACACATGCTATAACATAGACGAACCCTGAAAACATTAAGCTAAGTGAAATAAGCCATACACAAAAGGACAAATACCATATGATTCCCCTTTCATAAGGTATCTAGAGTAGTCAAATACAGAAACAGAAAACAGATCAGAGGTAAGTTACCAGGAGCTGAGGGGAGGGGAGAGGTATTGCTTAATGGGTACAGAGTTTCTGTTTGTGGTGATAAAATTTATAAAAGACAGTGGTGATGACAGCATATCACATAATTAATAGCACTGAATCAGACACTTAAAAATAGTTAAAATGTCCTCAAAGGGGGGACATTACACACACACACAGAAGAAAGCACGGAAGTAAACAGAAGTCCACAGATGTTTTCACTGAAGTCAGAGGAAAGAACAGGTGCAGATCCAAATGAGTATATATCAGTTCAGCTGTGGAAACAAGTAGTTCTGGATCACCTGCTGAGGGTAAAACGGTCTTGAAATTGGAATTCTATTTCTTCTCTCAATCCTATACTTTTTAGCCAGCTTTTTAACATTCTCCATGGTCTGGCCCTGGGGTTACCTAACCAACACACTCAATATGAACAATTCACTGCAAACGAGCCCTGCTCCTCGTGAGTCTAGAACATTCAGGTCTTTCCCATCTCCATCTTCTTATGTATGATGCTAATCCTTTTCCTTGGCTTTCTGGTTTTCAGACATCCTCCTGGTCTTCAAGGCCAGCTTGAGAACCACCTCCACATGGGGGAGACTAGCTCTTCCCTAATTATCCTATCTTCCTAATAAGCAGCCTCAGTGACTCCACTGGCCTTGACCACCACCAGCACAGAAGAGGCTATTTCCCATGAGACTTTACTTACCCACAGCAGTGTGCTGGTTACTATCTTCCATGTGTTAGTCTTGTGTAGGCTCCTTCTCTCAACCTTACAGTATATATACCTTACTGTGCTTAGTCACTTAGTCATATCCAATTCTTTGAGACACCATGGACTGCAGCCCACAAGGCTCCTCTGTCCATGGGGATTCACCAGGCAAGAATACTGGAGTGGGTTGCCAAGCCCTCCTCCAGAAGATCTTCCCAACCCTGGATTGAACCCAGGTCGCATTTCTGGCAGATTCTTTACCATCTGAGGTGTTAATAGTTTTATCAGTACTTAGGAAATACTGCTATTGTTGACTATCAAATAATTAACAATAGTTGGTATTTATGTAGCCCACACATTCTACAGTGCTTTCACATTCATAGTCACAGGATCATTGTTTACCACAATATCTTAAATCCTCGCAATAAACTAATTAAAGGAATATTAGTTCCATTTTAATGAAAAAGAACCTGAGGTGTTCAATCAAATGATCTATACTAGTTCATAGGCTAATAAAATGTAATAAAATAGTTCATAATTAAACAATTAATAGCCCTGGGTAATTAAAATCAGTCTTCTTACAGATTAAAAAAACTTCCTGGTATGTCTAAGACAAGAATAACCCTAGGGAAGCCCTTTATATAAAAAATTACTTATTTACTTGGTTTTTTAATAAATGCTTCATCATACAACCTATGTCTATCGAGCAAAGTTATTGAATAAAACTATTTTCAGCTAACTTAAAAAGTTATTTTCACCTTTAAAAAGTTTACAAACAATATGTACTTGTTATGGAAAAACTGAGAAAGTCAGGGGCAAAAGTCTATATTCTATCCACTGCCTAAAATCAACAACTATAAATCCCCTATCTTTCTACATATTTGTTAAAACAGAAAATGGAATTTTTGTGTATATTAGAACATAGATGTCAAACGTACATCCATGTTTTCATGAATGACACGTGACTTATAAGCCAATCCTCTATTTTGTACACTTAAGTTGGCTCACATTTTTTTCTAGGACATCAAAACTCTGTGCTGAACATCCCTCTAATCTCATGCACTTGTCCAGTGATTGCCTTAGGATGAATTCCTGGAAGTAGAGTTTACAGGCCAATGACAATAACCTATTTTTGAAATGCTTTTTAAATGAAACAGAGGTGATAAAACACATATAGCAGAGAAGCTAATTTTTTAGTACTCTGGTGTACTTAAAATTTTTAAGGCAGATAAAAACTTCAACTGTTTTTTAACATGCCCAAAGAATTTAAATAATGTTTCCCACATTCCAGTCCCTGTAAAGTGTGAAAACATACAGATGAAAAACACAGAAATCTAACATTGACTTGGGAGACCAGACAGAGCCTAATTTCAAAAGCATTTTTATTTTTTTAATCAAATGAGAAATGAAAGTAGAAAAAAAGATGAACCTGCATTTGTAAAAACAGATCTCCTCCCATTTTTTTTAAAGTTTTATTTTTCTGATTCAAGAAATACATGCTCATTATAGAAAATTTGGAATATACATAGAATAATAAAAATATGAATTTCCCAGAATCCAACAATACATATGATAGCCTTAGAGTTTTTACTACTTTCTTACCTACGTGTATTTTTTTAAAACAATTTGCAATCCTCCTTCTCTCCCCACAAATGGCCTGTGACATCCCGCATCCTCACTGCAGGCCTCTTTCCTTGCTGAGCTGTGGCTTGTATCCTTGCCTGCTCTCCTGATTTCCATGTAAATGCACAAACCAGGGACTTTCCTGGGACAGTGGCTAAGACTCATTGTTCCCAATGCAGAGGGCCCAGGTTCGATACCTGGTCAGGGAACTAGATCCCACATACTACAACTAAAAAAGATCCCCCATGCTACAACAAATAAATATTTTTTTAAAAATGTAAAAAAAAATGCACAACCCACCCCAAAGCAGGGCCAAAGTTCTGTGTTCTCAGAATTGCCCATGTCCAGCCTATTAAGAGAACTCACAACGTCAGCTCCCAGCTGCCTACTTCACTTCAGAGTCAGGCTTCTCCCCAGGAACACCATGAAGATGATCTCAGCTGGTCAACATCTTCAGCAGAAATGAATGCCTCTTAAAATGCATATGGCGGTTTAAGGTTTAACAAGTTCTCTCACACAGATGTAATCCTCACAAGAGTCCTCTGAAGTAGGCGGAGCAGATTTCCTTATTTAACAGGGAAGGAAACTGAGGAGTTGAGATCACAGCTATTCCATGGCAGAGCTTAGATTTGAAGCCATAAATTAGGACTTCCCTAGTGGCCTAGTAGTTAAGATCCTGCACCTCCAATGCAGAGGCACAGGCCTGATTCCTGTTTCAGGAACTAAGATCCCATGAACCACTGGGTGCGGCCAAAAAAAAAGAAAAGCCGTAAATTGACTCAAAGTTCAGAGCTCTTTACCTAGCCATTATTAACAAAACACTTTTAAGTCTTACAATTAGAAATTAAGAGCTAGAAAGATCTTCAGTAAATCATCTAACCTAATCTCTGTCTTACTATTCACTTACAAGGAAAGTAAAGAAAAGCTAGGTGACTGTCCAAAGTCACCAACTGCCTTGTGACAGTGAGGATCTAAAAGCACAATCTTCAGACTTCCAGACCAGTGCTCATGGCAGCCATCCCTAGAGAGAGATGCTTTAATAAGTTGTTCTCTTATCCAGTGTCTTCCGCTTAGCCAAAGTCAACCAGGAATTAAAATCTTAAACGTGTAGATGTCAGAGCCAGAAGGGATCTTAAGATAAACCAGGCCAACGCACTAGCTCTGGAGATGAAGAAAGTGAGACCCAAAACCCACCGCTTCTGCTATTCAATTCTGTGCACCTAGCGCTCACAGTATTACTCTCCTCTGGGTAGCTCTAAACAAAATCTGGCCAAAGACGTTTATTCACTTCTTGGACACAGTGTGTGAGAGGCCACAGGTCAGCAAGGCCAAAGAAAAACTGAACAGGGTTGGACTGCAGGAGGTATTTGGTTGGTAAGAGATGTACCCACAATGGCTGTATCATAAAATAACCAAGTTCTGCCAGGTTCCAGGAAGGCTTCCCCATTCTCCACTCATACAGAGAGAAGACCTATTGAAAAGTGTGTGGTTCTTAGAAAAGGGTACCAGTGGCCACTTGGAAGTCACTTGTCCCTTGAATCTGTGAAAATGTAGCAATAAGGTTTTGCTAAAAGCAGATCAACCAGGAATCCTAATTAAAACTGGCAGCACATCCCCAGGGCTCTCATCTTTCCCTAACCCTAAAGGACCCAGCCCTTCTTCCCATGTTCTTTGTGTACCATTCAAATCCGCTTCTGACTGTACGCTGCCACCTGGATTCTTTTTCTAAGGTTCCACAGTTCCACAGCCAGCCCCCGTGATTCTACAGCTAGCTTATAGCCTTATGTCTCTGGTGAGATGGAAAGCTCTTTGAGGGTCAGGGACCACTTCGACTTAACACATACTACTGCCAGACACCGTGCTTTTGCAGGATAAGATATGGCCCCCACCTTCAAGAAACTTCCAGGATAAACAAAACCATGTGCAGCACTGAGCAAAGCCCAAGGTGTAAACAGGAAGCGGAGGAACCCAGAGGACGAGGATAACAGAGGAGAGTCTTAAAGCGCTGTTGGACTCGGTTAGGCAAAGGGCAGCGGAGGGCAAGCCAGGCAAAGGCAAACCAGGCGGGCGGGCCAGCGTCAGCAAAGCCAAGGAGAGAAACAGTTCAACGCTGCAGAGTGGTGGGAGTTGAGGCTGGAGCGGCAGGCCTAGCAAGGTGGCCAAGGCAACAAGCCCGTGTCATTCACGCTGACCCGGTACGGGGGCCGCTGACGCAATTCGCGGGTAAACTAATTTGGGCGCCTTGGGCACAGTTGAAAGGCTGTGTCGGTGACGGCCTGCGAGGCCACGCGACCCCCTCCCCGGGGCACCTGTGCGCCTTCGCAGTCGCCAAAGGACACGCGGGGCTGCCTCCACCCGCCAGATATTCTACAGATCGCGCGCCCTGGCCCAGCCCCGACCCCGGGCCCCCGAGCGTCTCCGCTCCGGTTTAAAACGCCTGTTGACGCACTGTGGCGGGTGCCTGCGCGCCAGCGGGCGGCCCGGCGGTCTCCTCTGCAGTCGCCATCGGGCTTTCCCGAAGAGGGCTGCCCTTGGGCCCCCCGACCCCAGGCTGCGAGAGTGGGGGTGAAGGCGTCCAGCCCCGCTGGCGGGGTCCGCGTGGGGGGG